TGCTTCAAGCAGGCCATTAATAATAAAAAGTTGGTTTCTTTTTACTGTTTATTCTTCGAATTCTTTGTATGACGAACGTGTACGTTTCATTTACAGAAGCTGTGAATTTAATTAAAATAATTCTGAAAATTGCCCAATGTAGTTTTCTCTGTCATGGGTGTACGATGAAGTAGCATGGAGAATCGCACAAAACGGGGTTTTTAACGAAGCAACTTTGCCGTGAAGGCGGAACACAGCCACGCCGCTTTATTGACGTTTCTTGGTTATATTTACCGCTTTTCCAGGTTAAATGAGTGCTGTTTATTTCGGAAATTTTGTTCACTTTTTGGGGCCAGTAAATGCCAAGCATGAATACGATAATGGGAGAAAGCTTCGTGGTAAACATGGATGATTTTTCCGATAAATTGGGCTCGGCCAATCCACCTAAAAAGTACCCCCTTTTGGGTTACCCCTTCAGCTGTCCTCTACATCTATGGAGTTTTCCAGATACATAATTGACCACGAAGGCACCATGTTGGAGTGTGAAGGCACGTTGTCGGAAGCACCAGATCATGACGAAAACCACCTGCTGTCGATGGAAACCGATCCAGATGGGCTCAGCTCAGAGCCATCCCATCTGGGTATGGGCGAAGCCCACTCTCATAAAACCTCCACTTTATCCTTCTTTGCCTCAGAAATGATACCTTTGGACACGGTCCAGGACTTCGAGCAGAACCTCATGAACAAGCTGGACTCGGATATCATGAAGATGGTGGATCCAGTCTCCCACTACGTGATCCAGCATATGGACATTAGGGCGCCGTTGTTCAAGCTCAGACGGCTCATCGAGAAGAAGCTAAACATGGACTTGTCCAACTACACTTTCACGCTTCAGGACAGTCAAACTGTAGGTTGGTTGTTGGTGTTTTCGATCAACTCACTCCAGTTTTTTGCAGCTGGAAGGCCACAAGAACTTGGTGGATCAGTGCGTGCAAGGTGAGGGCCTAGTGCAGGTGAACGTGCAAGTGAAGCTCATCTCCAAGAAGATCGACATTATTGATGTGCTGAAGCCCGCAAAGGACTACGTGCACTCAGAAGACATATCAAACGATGAGGATGATGATGAGGAGGAGGAGGAGGAGCAGCCAATGGAGAACGAAGAGCCCGAGGAAATCGTTGCCGAGGACGCCAACAACATCGTCCAATGGCAGGTGGACATGCAGTACAAAAGAGAGCAGGAGCGCTTGAAAATCCCTCCCGATCCAGAGGATTGGTAAGTCGGGCGTGGGAGGATCCACTGTAAATGCAACTGAATCAATACCCTCAGGACGGTTTTGCAAGTGAGACACTGGCTGCAATGGGCGGTGCGCCAGTTCAATCTTTCCAACATCAAGCTCAGCCATTGGCAAATGACGGGCAAAGCGCTATACGAGCTCACGATGGCGGACTTTCAAAAAATCGTCCCCAACGATCCAGGGGACGTGTTTTGGACCCATCTGGAGCTGCTGCGAAAAATGAAATTAGTCGGTAATATTTTTGCGTTCTGTTCCTTCCCCAGGCCCGCGGATATCAGCTTCTTTTCCCACTCTTACAGCCACCCGACGCGAGGACGCGCCCACCAACGCTGAGCCCGGAAAGGAGTTCAAGATAACCACCAAAAACTCAAAGGTTGAACGCAAAACCCTGGTTGATCACACCCAATGGTGCAATGATTCCTTCTTGCAGCTCAAAGTGATTCCCAGCTACCGCTCACCTCTGAGTCCGTACGGGGCTTCCTTGGCAGGAAACAAGTCGGGCAACAATGGCCAGATCCAGCTGTGGCAATTCCTGCTGGAGCTGCTCACTAGCAAGGAGTACAACTCGGTTATTCAATGGACTGGTGAGTTGGCTGGCGACAGCGCACGAGACGATTGTTGTGAAATTCCGGCTTCTAGGCAAAGACGCCGAGTTCAAGCTGAACCATCCAGAAGTAGTGGCGAATTTGTGGGGAGTGCGCAAGAACAAGCCCGCCATGAACTACGAGAAGCTATCCAGAGCTCTGCGCTACTATTACGACGGCGACATGATTTCCAAAGTGCACGGCAAGCGATTCGTTTACAAGTTCGTCTGCGACTTGAAGCAGCTGATTGGCTACAGTGCGACTGAGCTGGCCAATCTGGTCAAGTACGGCAACCCCATGGTGAGGCCCCAGAAGCAAGTGTTAAGTTGAGTTGATTGAGCCGCGTTGGTTCGCCCTAGGTTAAGAAGACTGTGATATTTGAACTCCACACGTCCAACGTGGGTTTCTGGGCTTTGTAAAGCAAGCCATTAAAAGTTGGTTGGGTTTATTAAGAGGTTTTTTGTTTCTTCCCCGTGAACAAGTGCGAAAAACTGTGCTCCTCCTTCAGCGGCTGGAACCTGCCCAGACAAGCGGCCGCCTCCACCTCCTCAGCATCCCTCGTAGGAGCCTTTGGGCAGTAAATCGTGGCAAGGTTGTTGAAAGTGACTGCTTTCACCGGCCGCGGCTTGAACTCGGACTTTTTGAGGATGGACTTGAACAGGGGCAGCTGCGCCTTGAAGTCCTCCAGACTCCCCCTGCCACCCAACGAGTGACTGCTGTTTGAGGACAGCGACTGCTCGGACGGGGACGCTTCAGGCTTGAGGAAGTTGCCACTTCTGGCTTGCCGTTTAGGGAAGTCCAGCTCGGCTGGCGGCACCGTGCTGAGGTTGAAGTTCTGCCACGGATACGCGCGCTTTAGTCTCAGCCGGCCCTGGTCGGCCTGCGGTTCTTTGGGCCTGCCCAAAGACGACTGCAGCCTTTCCAGCTTGTCCCGCAGCTCCCTGTCCAGCTTCTGCTGCTGCTTGCGCCAGCTGCAGTCGCCCGGCCGCCCGTCCAGGCTGTGCTCGGACGAGGTTTTCCCAAAGAGCAACGAGCTGCAGCTCTCCCGCGTTTCAACGCTCTTCAGCTGCAGCGCCTCTTGACTGGGCTTCTTGTCCAGCGCCGAATCGCTTTTGTTCCTCTGCAGCTCCACCGGGCTGCGCACGGACGTTCGGAAGAAGCTCAACAGCTTGAATGGGTAGCGATTTTTCAGGAAATTCATCCTGGCCGACGACAATTTGAACAACGAAAATAATTGCGATATGAATGACATTCACGAGAATATTTCCTGGAAATTTTGACGGTTGCACCTGGCCGAATCTGGATCGGGCACCAGGCTGTCCCTTTGACGTATCATCATGAACTTTTGTCCATTCGCTCAAAATTAACGTGGAAAATCCCAGAAAATGTACAAATTGATCTGTGCCAATATCGCCAAATCACGCAACTTCACTCACTCGTACAAGAAGGTGGCGTTGGCCAATAGGATCCACCTGGACGCGAGCCGACCGCAAAGCGCCCCGCCCTCCACCAGTCTGGAGGAGAATGCGGAGGAACTGAACGACGAGGAAAATGGGTAAGGGATCGATGGCGACGAGCGCGCAGCGCACAAACGACGCTTTTTCTTGGCAGAGCGCCCATCAGCTCCGGAGCCCGAAACCAAAAACCCTCCAAAGCCAACCGAGGCTCAGCCTCCAAGCCCCATCCGACCTTAAGTCACTTAGTCAAGCCCCAGCCGCCTGCTGCGGCCACTTCCCGGAGAAGCTTCCACCTGAACGCCATCAGCTCGCCCTCAAGGCGCACCTGCTTCACGCAGGGCCCCAGAAACTCCATCGAGGAAGAGGTCAAGGAAAGTTACCGCAGGGCCATGAACCAGCTCTACAGCATGCAGCAGGACAAGCCAGAGTTTCAGTTCAAAGAGCAGGTCGGGGCAAATCATTCACCGCGCAAGGCTGCGCTATAATCAGGGCTTTCAGGCGGTGCATCCGCTGGCCACCAGCACCAAGAGGCGGCTGAGCCTGCAGCAGGCGAAGCACCAGAAGAAAGTGGCGGGGAGGACCGGGATCACCTACCCAACGCACACTTACAAGCACAACCTGACGTTCTCTAGAAGATATCGTCTGCGCGAAGAATCAGCGGAACGGTATTGGGTTTTTCGGGTTTTTAGGCCGTCGGTCGGTAGAATTTCTTCCTGACGTTTCGCAAGCACGAGTGGCTTGCATCTTCAGAAGTGGTTTGCTTGAACGCTTACACTGTTCTCATCAGAACCC